GAATTAAAATTATATTTGTTCTTTTTTTCCAAATAAACTCTACCGCCTCTTATTGTATTTAACTTAGCAAATAAAATATGTTTGATAGGTTTTCGTTCTTTAAGTAAAGTATTGGCATGGCGATGTGGTGTCGTTTGATAATGTGAGATATCATTTTCTGGAATAGGAACCAACCCTACTACACTAACAACATTTGTTCTTAACCCGGTTGTACATAAAGGTGCGTATGTTCATCTGATAGATTATTTTCTGAGTCCAACAATTTGGAAAAGCCTTCAAACAATGTTTCTGCCAGATGTCATGCTTTTGGGATCGAATGACAGTGCTTCGAAATATCCACTCGATTCTCTCTCTCGCTCAAATATTCGTCTGGTCTGGATTGTGGAAATCGAATATGTTCCCCTAATTTGAAAAATTTCCCCATTGGGACATTTATTATGAGTAATACCTCAACCCACATGTTCCAGGACATTTTCTCTTGTCAAATGAGATTGTAGTATATTTATCCTCAGTTTTTGATCATTTTCTTTCATCAATTTTTAATGAACTATTCTTAGTATCAAGTTGTTAATAATAATAATAATAATAATCTTTGTCACCTACTATTAACGTGGTTTTATCTTCCTTATGACCACCTTATCATCAGCATTTCGTTTGTTTTTCAGATAACACCTGTTGGATACTTGTGACTACTTCTATCAGTGATTGCAAAACTGAATTGAAATTTATTTTGATTAATCTAAAATGATTAGTTTTTTATTACTAGCCAAAAGAAAACTTTAAATAGTTATTTTTCAATTGTGGAAATTCTTTCTCAATTATTATTATTTTATTGCGTCGTATGATTGTAGACTAAGCCCAGTGAGGATGGCCCAAACCCATGTTGAATGAGTTTTATTCAATATCTAATAAAAATCAATGTGTCAACCACTACAGCATCTTCAGACGAAATAAAATAAACTTCTTAAATGCAAGAATATAGAAACTTATGTAAATGTATCATCTCTGCTTTAAAACTGATTAGACGTATTCTGCAACATTTAGAGAAAAGAAAAAGAAAAAGTGTTTAACAATGTGTCTATTTTCTTTTTCTTTTCTTAAATAGCACTCTTCCCTAAGTGTTGTATTATTATTATTATTATTATTAGAAATATTTTAATCGGGATACTGTCTATCATTATTTTCATTTTTACCGACAGGTTTGCGAGTGTAGCACTTAAAAGTTATTGTCTGTCGGGTTTAGCAATTTGAAAAGTCTTTATTCATTGGCTGTCTACAAATCCTTCTAACTCTTAACTTGACCATAGTCGCCATCCGTCTCCATCCGATCTCAACATTCCCTTCTTACTCTCAAGTGGTAAAGCGAATCTCACATGCAGGTGCGTACTAAAAGGGAGAGTGTCACTGCTCTCGATAAGTCTATGTGAATAAATGATAAAAGGTGAAAGAAAAAAATGAAAAGAGAGACAGACATTCAGACTGACAAGGAGAGGGGGATAAATAATCCAGAAAAAAGAGGAAAGTCCATCTTTTTTCGTTTTAAAAATTCTCTCTTTTTTTTTATATTTTATTTAATTTTTCAATTTTTTACAAATAAATCATCGGGATCGCCCCTCGTTTTTTTCGTGCACAAGAGTCAGCCGCTGACGAGTCATCAAATCACAGATTTACTCGATAACTCCTTCACTTTTTCGACTTGAGCAACACACGCAAACGCGCGCGAGTATACACGCACATACACACACACTTATATTATTTGTGGTTAAATTACCATCAGTTAAAAGAAAGAAAAGTTTTTTTGACAAAAGGATATTAAGATTTTTTCTGAAATTGAAATTATAAAAATGTCTCCATGTTTGTAAAGATGAAAAAAAAACTAATGAGAAGTTTGTCTTACAAATATTTCGGTCATGAAATCATCATCATCATAATCTTATTATTATTATTATTAGTAGTAGTAGTAGTAGTAGTACTACTAGTAGTAGTAGTAGTAGTAGTAGTAGTAAAAAAGAGCGGGTGTGAGTAAGAAAGAGATGATATAATGGATGACCACAAAGATGTACATTGTAGATTACTAGCTGCAGTTACCGAATTAATCAGCTTTCTATAAGTATTCTTAAATGCTTCAGGACCTAGGCAATCATGGATTTCTACAAATTCCTTTTCTTTATTATCTGTGAATTGTCATGACTTCTTGGGAAAGATAAGTGGAGTGGTTTCTCGTTGCCTTCCCATCTATGAGTATTATTGAGTTTAATTGAATCATTTTTTGTGTTTGATTCAAATTTAACGTGACAATAAAAAATGTGCATAATCATATGCACACAGAGATAAAGAAAGGAAAAGGGAGTCTGCCTGTCTCTATTTTTATCATCATCGCTTTTTCAACAGCAAATAAAAGTAGAGAGAAAAAATAAAAATTTTCATTTTAGAAGATGTAAATGTTTATTAAAATAAGCAACACTATGTTACAAGAGCCGCAAATGCCCACGTACACTGCGATACACAAACACACACACACTCACACTCACGCCTCTGCATCTTCACTGACAAAAATAGACAAATTTATGTACTAACATTACTAATACTCATGTATCTATTCATATCTCACTCTCTTTAAATCCATCTATCTAGCCTGAATTCATTCTTGCATTAGATAAATACGCCTTTTATATGTAGTCATTAATAAAAAGAAAGAAAGAAAGAACAGATTTAATAATAAACTATTTCTAAGAACAAGAAAACTTCAAATTATTCCTAACATTTTTTGATTCCATTGCACAAAAATTTCGTTACTCCATATCCGTTAAAAGAATCATCAAAACTATTGAAAGTCCCGCCAGAGTTAACAGTCAGTTTTTCCTAAATTGTAGTGTCCAGAACAAAAACAACTTCTGACAATGTTTTTCAATGTTTCACTTAATTTTTGACCCATTGCTTCAACGAAAGATTTTATCATTTGCAAAAATATTGATGACAGAAAATCAATTTATGTCGTAATTGCGACAATTCTCATAATTTTAAAGAATAATTTGGAGTTGGTAATTTTATGAATTTTACAATATTTTATTAAAATTGACTAAAAAACGGTTGTTATGACAAAGACTTTTATGGAGAGGATGAAAGGAATAAAAGCGCGCACGCGCGCGCGCACACACACACACACACACACACAATAGGTTGTTTATGCATATATGAAGTGTAGTATGTACACAATTAAGGTTATTGCTTGAAAGTTAATGAAGATCAAAGAATAAATTCTCGAATAAGCAACTAACGTTTCTCTTGTCTGATTGATAATTGTTTTCAATGAAAAAAAAATGTTGTTTTCACATTTTATCAGTTTCTTCTAATTATTTTAGAATTTTTTTAAAGTCATTTAAAAAATCGAAACATTGTGAATGGATACCTTTTTATTAGAACATTAATTCTTTATTCTGAAAGTGTTTAACTTTCATGTACCAACCAGAGAATGTCATATTTAATATGTAAATGTGAGTGAATATAACACACATACACGTGTGTATTTGCGTGTACACTTTTGTGTTAGTATATTTATGTTTGCAAAAACTACTCACCGCTCTTGAGTAAAAGAGAGATAAATAGAGAGCGAAAAGAGAGAAAGTCAGAGGATTTAGTCGTTCGAACCCAGGAAGTCGAATACTAATTTTAATTGAAGTCTGGTATACTAATTTGGCGTAACATAATCTTTCTAAATCCATTATCTTCATTATATTGCATTAGACTGAGTAAACTTCGATCGTTTAATATCACAGGCTCACAATAATTAAATCCACACGAGGGTCGAATTCACTTGACAAATGAATAGCCTACGAGATTAACTTGCTAACCATTGTTCTATGGTAGACAGAAATATTATGGGTATGTGATTGCGTGCGTGAGTGACTCTCTGTGTGTGTGTTCTGTGTGTGTGTGTGCGTGTTTTGTGTGTGTGTGTGCGTGCGTGCGCGCGTGCACTCGCGTATGTATAAAAGCCAACAAACAAAAATACACATGCTGGGCGATGAAAATACAATCTCTACGAAACCCGGCTAATGGTCGTTCCATAATCATAATGATTTTTCACAAAATAAAATAAAAGAAAAAACAAATCAACCATATCCACTAAATTTAAAATTCATTAACCCGTGGCGCTCAAGCATTTTTGATGATGTAATGAATAATGTAATTCAACCTTTCTTTTTGATTGGGACGCTATTTATCGCATACTTTATTTGTTTTTATTTTGTCGATGCATTCTTTGGATATAAACTTCTTGAATTCGTCCCCAACATATACGAAACACACACACATACACACACACATACACACACCACATCACACTTACATACAAACACCCACACCCACGCGCACAACCTTCCCCAAAATGAATTTTTAACAGATAAACATTTGTAGAGGTATATTATTTTGCAGAGGACAGTGTAGAGTGAAGAACTGAAGACTGACCACTGAGGGATCTTAAGTCAGATAATGCAAGTTCTCAAATAAAAAAAAGAAAAAGGAAAAAAGTCACCTGGTCACTTCCAGTTCCTCTGTTTCTGTGATACTCATAGGTGAATAAAAACAAAGAAATAAAACAAAACAAAATAAAAATGATATCACCAGCTTTGTTGCTTAGATTATTGCATAATAGCTACCAACCACTGCCAGTGGTCTATGTTTTTGAGTCCAAATAAAAGGTGCAAATTGTCCGAAATAAGGCTTTTTCTCAAATTAAAATATCGGCACAACAAAATTTTCGCACCCCGTTTCAACTTATTTGACCTTACGGCTGTACTAAGTTTAAATACCATGTATAAATAAATACGTATAGTTAATATTTAGCAAGTACACACAGACATACCGACAGACGTACATACACCTAGATATACACACATAGGCAAAATATTTCAAATGTGTATAAAATTATGTCTCCTTTTAGCGAGATACGACCGTCAAATTGATTGAAAAGCGTCGTAAGTGCTTCCATTTTATAATAGCACTGTGTGTTAGGTAAGACAAGGCACCGTTTAGACAACGGTGTTTCTTCTTTCCTAGATGTTGTTACATCTCTCTCTGTTTCTCTCTCTCTCCGTTTCCTCCTCCTCTCCCTCTCTCTCTCTCTCTCTGTGTTTCTCTCTATCTCTCTCCCTCTTCCCGCCTTACTTTCATGCGTACCCTTCCCCACCGTCATACGTACCAAGCAAAGCACCTGCGCGTGCGCACATTCTCGGTTATTGTGTACCCCTTTTAAAGTGACACACTGGTAGTGGTAAGAAAGCACACATATATTTGGGGGTCCTCCTCCTTATTCGCGCTTGGGGTTGGAGAGAGAAGTCCGTTAAAAAACTGTATTAAGCAGACAGGAAGCATTTCTATGTCTCTCTCTCTTCCCCCCCTACTCTTCAACATTTGCAGAACGAGTAGTGGGAACTACAATAACAAAAACAAACAAAAAATACGACTGTTGTGTTTTTTAGATACTGTTTCTCTCTCTAATTTGTTCTTTTTGATTGCGGAAAGTTAACAGACGAAGCGACATAAATTAAGAAAAAAACATGAGAAGTACATCGGAAGAATACAACGGGGAGTTCAGATAGCAAGTCATCTCATGGAAACTAAATAGCTTAACGGCTTAGAGGGAGGCAGAAAAGAAAAAGAAGAAAGAGACAGACAGACAGACCGAGAAAGAGAGAAAACCTTTAAAAAAAAAAGGAAAAGAAAAAGTAAAAAAAGGACTACTAGCTTATTCAATCTTCCAGTTTCATCTGGACGTCAGTCAGTCGGTTTGTCGTCTGTGGGTACTAGAATTCCATCGACAAACGGACAATTTATCAGTGCAGACTCGCTTAAGCAGTCTAAGCATAATGAAGGACCTTAAACACTGGTTGCACGCGGTTTTCACCCTATTATTACTGGTATCCGCACAGAGCCAGCAGGACTTGTATGGCCATGAAATCTCAATGATCGGGCAAGGTAGATGGGGTAGTATTGGAATCGATCAACCCCAGTGCATAGACATACCTGACTCTTTGTCGGTGTGCAAAGGCATGGGGTATAAAAAGATGAGCCTTCCCAACTTACTGGATCACAGTAGCCTACCCGAAGTAGTACAACAATTCAGCTCATCTCACTGGAGACATTTGATCGGTAGAAAATGCCACCCGGACACGCGTCTCTTTCTATGTTCGTTGTTCACCCCGGTCTGTCTAGAGCGGAAGATCTACCCTTGCCGTTCCCTTTGTTCGGTTGTCAAGGATGGATGTGAAGGAATCATGCAAAAATGGGGCTACCCGTGGCCAGATATGCTCAACTGCAGCAAGTTTCCCTTTCAGAATGATTTGTGTATTTATCCGCAGCACACAGATGCAGGTAAGCTATCTACGTCTGATTTGACATTTTCTACAGCTGTTTACAATGCGACGTAATTACGAGACAAATAGGGTATTTGATCAAAAACGCATTATCTATCTATCTATCTATCTATCTATCTATCTATCTATCTATCTATCTATCTCCTCAGTCAGCTATGTAACTCTGCAGCCCCTTAATTTTTTATAGACACACTTACACACGCATGCGCGTGCTCTCACTCTCTCACACACACACGCACACACACACACACAGATTTTTCGTTTTTGTTCTATAAATATGTTCAGTTATATCAATAATTATTTGCTACAATCACTGTGTAAAAAAAAATACTTTTTACGGTTATAAAAGTTATTTATTAATTTGAGACATTGTCTTCCACTTTCAACTTCTTTCCATACACTCCTTTCAGGATTTTGACCGGTGAACATTTTATGAAATTCTTTCTCAGTTTAAGTAAATTTTAAAAATAAAAAACTCATTATAATTAGAAAAAGCAAAAATTTGAAAACTTATACGAAAATTAAATGAGGAAATATCGAATGATCGCTATGTATATTCATCGGCACGCACACACGCACACACACATAAACACACACACACACATCTATACGTGTGTGTACGCACGCATATGCTAGCATAGTTGGTCAATTATTTTTCGATTTTTAAGAAAAATGTTTCATTCAACTGATGTGACCGCGAGTTGATAAAACGAAAGAAATAACAAAAGGTGCGGGAAGAAAAGGTTAAAAACTGAAGCAACAATGGGTGAATATCAGATAAATCGGCAGACGACAGGATGAAACGTAAGAAAAAGAAAATTAGTCAAACATTCAAAAAATCAGTGAAACAAATCAAAAAAGAAAATAAGAAAGCGTTAGAATAGGCAACAATGATGCTTGAAGATAATCGTCATAGCCTTGCCCTTGGGTATCCTGCGACAACCAAAATATGAGTGTCTGGAAGAAAGAAGAGAAAGAAAACGCGCTATCTTTTCCTTTAGCGATGAATTTTTTCCTCGCTAAACTTTCTCCTGTATCTGTTGATTCTAATACCTTTATTGAACTTTGGCTGTTTAATAATAATAATAATAATAATAATAATAATAATAATAATAATAATAATAAGCAAGTTTAATGAAATTAAAACGCCTGAAAAAAAAACGCCTTAAAATAAATATTTTGGCATTTTTGAGTTAAAAAAGAAAAAGAAAAAGGAGGAAAAAAAGTTGTTCTCCTCAAAGTTTAAAAAACGATTGAACATTTACACACACACGGGCTCGAGAGTGCGCGGGCACACATACGCACATAGAGGAGGATCTCTCTTTCTCTCTTCCACTCCATCACATTTACTACTGAATGAAAATAAAGAAAAACGCCTTTAGATTTGTTTTTCTAAGAGACAGGAATAGGGGTGGGTGATTTGCATCTTCTTTTATTAAGAATTAAGGAATAAAGTAAATAGTAAAGGCTATACGAATTAGTTATTCCTTCTGAAAAATAAATAAATAAAAGGAAACGAAAAAAATATATATAAAAATAAAAAATTAAAAAAAATTGGCAAAAGCTTTTAAGTTTTTTCATGATAAGGTTAAGGTGTAATCCAAATAGAAAAGTAATTGTTCTATGACTTTAAAACGTGGGGGTCGTCAGTGAGAAAAGGAATCAAGAATGAAAAATGTTCATCCCTTCCCCCTATTTGGTGTTATATAGGAATGATACAATCACTGGTGATAAGAAAGTGTTTAAAATGCAAATGTATGTATGTATGTATGTATGCATGTATGTATGTATGTATGTATTTATGTATGTATATAATAGAGGCGTTGAAAAATTCCCAGTTCGACCTACTTACCAAAATCTGACCAAATGGCCAAACTTTAGATTTGGGTGTGTGTGTGGCGGGGGGGAATCCTTTCTTAGGCGAGCCGAACAATTTTCAGCACTATGTTGGCGATTTTAACTGTGGGCCGATACGTATGCGGGTGGGTAGGATATTACTAAGAAAGTATGTGAGAATGTTCATATATATATATATATTTAAAACAAATATATATATATATATATATATATATGTAAGCAAATATATGGATATAAATCCGACAGTATGAAAGAAAAATACAGAAAAAAACAAAATTCTGAATATGCATTATTAATGTTAAAATAAAGTCGACGTCGGACGTTTCGGTCTATTTAAGACCATCTTCGCTGATCTGTATAAAATTTCAGTTATCTGTCTGAATTAGTTGGGCTCCTATGTCCATCGTCTTTTGTGTTAAATTGTTATAAGTTATAATGTTAATTATGTTTAAATGAAAATGTCCATGAAGATGGTCTTAAATAGACAGAAACGTCCGACGTCGACTTTATTTTAACATTAATAATGCATATTCAGAATTTTGTTTTTTTTCTGTATTTTCTTTATATATATATATATATATATATATATATATATATATATATATATTTATATATATATATTCAAAACACACACACACACACACACACACATATATATATATATATATATATATATATATAATTTTTATTTGGCTGTAGAGAAAAAGTATACCTTTGCAAAATTCCAAAGCTGTGTTTTTTATTCTCCCTGCGAATAAACATACACACACACACACACACACACACACACACACACACACACACACACATATATATATATATATATATATATATATATATATATATATATATATATATATATAATTATAAAACAGTTATTGATCAGAGTTGAATTAGAAACAATTGTATTAAAAAGTGCTCAATACATGTATAAAAGAAAATAAAAAATTAACATGGAGAGCTTTTAAATTTAAAATTGTATGATCACCTAATTTTTTTTAAACATAGATATATATATATAATAATAATGAATGAAAATTTCAAAGACGTATCTCCCTACTTTTTTGAAAATACATTACATAAAAACTTAATTCAACTTTTTAAAATTTGTTCTTTCAAAAAGACATTATTACGTGACGTCACTTAATCTGAAATTTGTCTATTAGATAAACGTTGTCCTCCGGCATTTTTTAGTGTAAACAATACTTGTTATTACTAAAGAACTCCTGCGTATAACAGTGACTGCTTACATATATATATATATATATATATATATATATATTAATAAAATTTACATTTTTCTCACCGGTAGCACCTAACGATTGAATCAGTAGCACAACTGAATTACCACCTGATGACTGCATTGTGCATGAATGAGGAATGAGTTGCGCTACCGGTGTGGAAAATATGTATATTTATTATTAATATAAATTAAAGCTCTTTTATCATAGATCGAGCACTAATTTATTAGCACCAGCACTCAATGTGTAATGTGTGTGTGTGGGTGTATATATGTGTGTGTGTGTGCATATTTATATCACAGCACAAATACATAAGGATAAATGCAAATAAATGTGTGCCTCAAAAGATATAAAACATGCATCAGCTTTAATGGTAAAAAAATTTTAAAATCATTTTTAAAAATTCATTTGTTTATAATATGGATGCTTGTTATTTATAACTGCCACTTATCTATTACCTGTAACAGGTTAAAAATGTTATGCTTCAGTAGCAATATCACAAATATAAAATCTACAGCCGTACAGCCAAAATCTACTTTGGACGTAGGAAGTATTATTTTCCGAACAAATATTGTACAGTTTTCTATCTTTCAAGCGTGTGTGTGTGTGCACGCGCGTGCGTGTGTGTGTGTGTGTGTGTGTGTGTGTGTGTGTGTGCCTTCTTTCCCTTGATTAAGAAGTTACCTCTCACAAATTTTGGACAAATTTTAAAGAAGTGGGTCGAACTTTTCAGTATTCCCTCGTGTGCATATATATATATATATATATATATATATATATATATATATATATATATATATATATATATATATATATATATATATATATACATTAGCTGAACTTTGATCTGAATTATTCACTGTAAAATGTTCATATATGTTCACCAGTAAATTTAAGTGAAAATAAAAAATGTGTAAAATAAGGCCTTTTCATTATTAGTCTAATTAATGTACATACCTAAAAAGACACACATACATGCACGCACTTATACAGATTAAATTATATTTTCATTCACTTTCTCGTAAACGACATGCATTTTAATAATAAAACCATTTCTATTAGCAATGTCGTTTTTGTATTTATGAAATCTTTCATAGATAGGAACAATTAATTATTTGAACAATATTACTAAGAAATTAATGGATTTTATTTATAATTCAATATTATTTCTTATTAATTAAAAGCGTTATATTTATCCGATACACGGGTTCCCTGTTTGTTTAAAGTAAACAGTATAAATAAAGGTGTAAATTTGTCTATCCATTCGAGAGTCTTGATAAAGAAAATGTACCTTTCGGAATTTTCTTTATTAAAACTCGCGGTAGACGTAAATTTGTATTATATCCAATAGATATAACATTGAAAGTAATAAGAATATATACATATATATATATATGTGTGTGTGTGTGTGTGTGTGTGTGTGTGTGTGTGTAGTTTATGAAAAACTAGGTAATCCGTATGGGTAAACCTAAGGAGGATTGTTTGGAAGTAAAGTCTGATGATCCGCAGTCCTTTTAAAAGGGCTGTGGTGAAATAATTTATTATATGGAACCTTAAAGTGGTCTGTTTTTATTTAAAATATATATATAAAGTGGTCTGTTTTTATTTAAAATATATATATATATATATATATATATATATATATAGAGAGAGAGAGAGAGAAAGGGAGAGAGAGAGGGGGAGAGAGCAAGGGAGTGAGAGAGAGTGTGTGTGTGTGTGTGTGTGTGTGTGTGTGTGTGTGTGTGTGTGTGTGTGTGTGTGTGTGTGTGCGCGCGTTTGTATAGGACACAAAATAAATTCACGCACGCAGTGCAGTTTGGTCTTTAAAATGCAAAGAACCCCTGTCCACAATTTATATGCATCGGAAGTTTATTGAAATGAGGAGATGAACCGATTATGGCCATTACACACACTTTCACGCACATACATACACACACACTTATACATAAGAATATCAGAATTCTCCCATGCATATATGTCAGTGCGTCTGGCTGTATTTTGGGAGATGTCTATTTGTAGGTCGTTTTTTTTTTTTCTTAAGTGATCCGGTGCCTGCCATCCGTCGTAACCCCTACCTCGTGGGATGAACCTGTCTGGGATTCCCATCTCCCAATCTGAATGTCCCAAATAACTTTTCCTTCTCCCATCCCCGCTTCCTCAATGCCTTTTCCTTTCTTTCATTCTTCACTTAGTTGTTTCCTTCGTTTTCTCCTTTTTTTTTTTTGGCACACTCGCTTCATTCACCCCCACTATATATCTCTCCCTCTCTCTTTCTCTCTCTCATACACATACATTTTTTAAATCTGCGTACTTTTTTCATCATAGCGACGAAATTGCTTTTTTGTTCCAATTTTAAAGAACTATAACTTATAACAAATTAAACTTTTTTATACAATTTTTAAAAATTCCTATCTATCTATCTATCTATCTATCTATCTATCTATCTATCTATCTATCTATCTATCTATCTAACGATGTATCAGTAAGCCTGCCACGTTTTGGACTGAATTTTGATCCAAGTTTTGAACTACTTTACGTTCAATTCGTGTGATTAGTATTCATCGGTGGATTAATTGCATTAACAAGGAAAGAAATTATGTTGAAAAATAAATATTTGTAAAATACTTTTTTCAGCATGGGACTGCAAACTTATTGATGTACTTACGTATCCTTATCTCTCTCTCTCTCTCTCTCTCTCTCTCTCTCTCTCTCTCTATCTATCTATCTATCTATCTATCTATGTGTGCGTATATTTGTGTGCGTATGTGTGTACTGACATAATTATGACGAATTTGTAAGTTAATATGCAATGACTGATTATTTTGAACGTGTACCAACATAATATGTCTTCATAGATAAGATAAACGAATATATCGGACAAAACTAAAACAAAAACTGATTTAAATTTCACGATAAAAATATTTTATGTATATGTATATTCAAAATGATTTTTTAATTGTTTTAATTTTGGTGACATTACAGCTTTACAAAGAATGAAACACTTCAATTATTGTCAGTTGGCTCAAAAGATGAGCCAACTATCTTGCAAAATCGACGAATGTATTCTGCCTGAAAATCAAGTAGAATAAGATATAAATTCTGACTTTTCTTCTACTTTACCTGAATTAACTTCCCACTAATTGCGTTTCCCATCGCGAAACAGTTTTAAAAAGCATCTTAGAATACCCTTTTGTCACGGTGCATATTATCTGACTTAAGATCCGAGTTTAAGTGAAAACTTTTCCTGTACACCCATTCATATGAAACCGCTGTTTTATTTTGCAGTAGCATTGGAAATATACTTACTTCACAAAGCATTATTTGTAGATCTAAGCACTAACTAGGGAATTATCTTCACTTGCTTGCTTAAGGTCGACTGTGATATCACTCAATATTTTATGCGGTTGCTGAATTAAAAACAAATCGGCAAGTTTCTAACGAACGATGGCTTCAGTTTATTAATTTTGCTCAGATTAATCAGTATGTTTAGCATATTCAGCACCAAAAATTGTTAATTACATAACGTCCCCTTTTTTAAAATCGCGCCTTGTTTTCATTTTCTCCTCTGCATACTGCTCTGTCTGATATGCGCTTTTAATCGATGCTGTTTAGTATCTAGGAAATCCCTTATGTTCTTGGCCGACACAATTTAACGAAAAACAAACACCTGAAGGTGTTAATGATAACTTTAAACTTTTATAGACGCCAGCCTCGTAATCTGCAATATATCTATCGAGCAAGAGTATAAATTCATATGCGTCCACATTAATATGGTGGTAATTATTCCCGATTTTTATGGAGGAGACCGAGGTTCTAATGTCCATTGTAACAGAATAATCCTTTTTAGAGCTACACTTTATATTTGTATCGATTGATGCAAAATATCTGATGAGAAGGTTGACAGTTTTTTTTGTTTTTTTTTAGATCAATCAATGATTGACACAGAAATAACTCTTTACTTTTTTCACTAATGATTCATACAGTATTTTCTCCGAGTTGAAAACTGGCGACCCAAATCTCCAGAGATAGTAAAGTTTGAAAGTACTTTCCCAGGACAACAGGGATCGTCGTTACTTCAAAATAATTCAGTTCAAAAGTGTCGGTTGAATTTGTTCCAAACTGAAAGAGAAACGTGGGAAATGATATAAGAATTTCCAAGGGATGTTTAATGATAATAACGGCGTATTTCAATCGCTTTTATTATTTATATGATCGCCGAAAGAAGAGGGATTTTTCTTGGACTGTATATAGTATTATAGATAGGTGTAATTATGTAGATGCATGCACTCACACACACACACACACACACACACACACACACACACACACACACACACACACACATATATATATATATATATATATATATATATATATATATATATATATATACACTACAGTTCAAAAGTTTGAAGGCACCCCAGAATTAGTATAGGATGAACTTGACAGAAGAGCGAAAAAAAAAAAAAAGAAAAAGAGGAAGTCTTAGAGTCACCGAAAAAAAATGTAATCAGTTATCAAACTTATACTTTGAGAAACTTTTTCAACGAATGCCAACACTTGGTGCCTGCAGTAATCAAGGCTAAAGGAGGATATTTTGACGAGAGCAAAATTTAATCATAAAATACATGTTTTCCTTTTTGTCATAATAAAATTTCTAATAAAAAAAATCATGTCTCACTTTTTTAACCATGTTACTTAAAGTACAAATTAACTACTTTTGGGGCCAATTTAAAAATTACCAGGCCAAACTTTTGAACTGTACTGTATATATATATATATATATATATATATATATATATATATATATATTATGAAAAACTTGGTAATCCGTATGGGTAGTCCCAAGGAGGATGAAATCCTGAGACCTCTTTAAATATATATGGGTCTATGTGTGTGTATAAGTGTGTCAATAAAGATTAAAGAGCCGGTAGAATTATCTAGATGACTAAGTTGATAGATAGATAGATAGATAGATAGATAGATAGATAGATAGATAGATAGAATTTAAAAATAAAGCTCACAAATTAAAGTTTATTTATTTACACTTATGTAGAAAACATAAAAATAACTAAAAGATGAAAATAAAGAATTTGCAAATAAAATATAGATAAATCCTTCCACAAAAGTAATTACAAGTAACGGATATATATATATATATATTTTTTCTGTTACGTTTTAAATTTAAAAAATAAGCATCAAATATATTTTAATATTTTTACTGAAGGAAATACGAAGTTTGACTGGAACTTTCTTATTAAAATCAATAATAATAATAATAATAATAATTATTATTATTATTATTAT